TCTATCTATCTATCTATCTATCTATCTATCTATCTATCTATCTATCTGGAAAAGCATTTGATCTCCCAATTCTAAAAATAATTTAGAACAGGAAATGACCTGATGCAAAGATTTTGAATTATGGTTAAATATCCAAGTGTTTTAAAAACAAACATTGAAAATTAAATAGTAATCCATCATCTTATATTGTTTAGAATGTGATTGTTTCAAGTACTCTTTCTTACCTGTCTGAATAAACTGGTGAGTTTCCTGGAAACATTACACCATTCATCCTGTTTAAACTGTTGGAATTATTTTTCCTATAAGAAATAAACGTGTTTTGAGATTTCTGCAATATATAGGTTTTTTAAATAAAAAAAACACACACATTTTGGCTAAGAACAAACATCTCCAGATTCCTAGAAGCTTTGTTTCTCTTTTTTCCCCCTCTAAAAGTTGTATAATTATAATCAATTATTAAAGAGAACCTGCTATGTTTATTTTTTTCCAACAGTACTGAAAAACTATTCAATTATGCAAAAGCACAACTGTGTACTTTGGGGGGGGGGGGGGGGGGGGATTTTTTATTTTTTTTACCATCTAATATACCTTCTTGCCTCTAGTTCCACTTTCCTTTCCTGAAAATATTCTATTAAAGACTATGGATAATACATAGGTAGTCTTTGTTCAGTGACTGCCACATTCAGCGACTGTTCAAAATTGCAATAGAGATGAAAAAGTAATGATGTGAGTAATCCTTGCATTTACAACCTTTGCAGGCATAAGATCATAAAGCAAAGTCACGGTTTCACTCAGTGACTGCTTTGCTTAATGACAAAGTTGCCAATCCCAATTATAGCCACTAGAAAAAGACTGCCTATAAACTCTTTTTATTTGTTAGCTCTCTACAAATTCCTTGTGAATTTATACAGAAACAAAGTAGGTCTTATATCATAGATGAAATATCGCAGATTTTATAGATAGTCCTTGACTCAGGATGTCAACTGAGACAGGAAATCCCAGAAATGACTGAACCCATTTTTTTTTACATTTTTTGTTATGGTCATTAAGCAGATTAAGCAAACCTAATTGGTTTTTTTTAAAACCAGAAAGTGGTTAAAAAGTTGCAAATCATGATGATGTGACTCTGTAACACTATAACCGATACCATCTCAGTCCCATATCCAGGCCTGAAACGCAACCGAAAGATAATCCATCTCCATCCAGGACTCTTTTCCAGCATAGGTGAGAAGACGAGATACCTACCAAATGGAACGACAGCTGTACTGAGGGGAAAGTTCTCTGCTAGTTCTCTAACCACACAACAGCCAAAAATCACATATAGGCCTCCCGTTATCCAAAATGTTATGTCTGAATCAAACTGCTCCTTCTCAGGGCGCCATGTTGTCTGCCACGAATCCTCAGGGACACATGCTGAACGCTGCTGTCTGGTGATCCAGTGCTGCAGCCTCCCTGCGTCCAGTTCTAGCCTGCAGCAGCTCCTTTACAGCCAAACCCCTCGGCTGCTGGTCACGGGAAAAACCCTAGCATTGCTGCCAAATGCAGCACCTCTGCCACCGCCACCTCTGAGCAAAGCACAAATAATGCCTCCAAAACAAAGCAGCTGTGTACCAGCTGTCGGAAACTGGCACACACCCAAGGCAGTCTCAACACAGCTCCTACTCTTGATAACACTATGGGAGACAAAGCAAGAACAGATGCCTAGCATAGTCCTCTCCTTCCACAGTTAATAGCCCAAGCTGTGTGGGTTTATAAGCAAATGTTGAGGGTTAAATCTCTTTTCATGAAAAGTAGCCCAGTGCAGATCAGGTAGGCTGCAACATCTGCCGTCTCTGCAAGCCTTTGCTCTCATAAGTCCAGTATAAAAAAACAATCATTCATAAGCTAATACAAAAAAAGAAAGCACCCAACATTAAAAAAATCACCCAAAAGCAATCACATGTTACCCTACTGCTTATATGACCACCATTAAAAAAGGCTGATTTGTTGCTATTCTATTTCCTAATAAAGTTGACCCCAGACTACCTGTTAACAGGAAATTTTCTATGCTGGTCCCCTCAAACCTAAGTACACCATCGATAACAAATGCATTGCAATCTTGACAATGAAGCAGTCTCAACTTTTAAAATAAAGGTAACAAAGGTCATACTCACTCTGAAGAAGGATATACACAGCTGACAACCATAACATTCTGTAAAATAGGGGAAAAAAGAAAACATCAAGACTTATGGGAAAAGTAAAAGCAAATTTTACAAGTCAATAATTCATCTTGTAGTCCTACATTGTTTGGTTGGTCCTTATTAGTATCTGATTCTCAAAGAGCTTCTCAAGCTCTTTGTCTATATCATAAGACATAGATAAATTTCTGTCTTCCAGACTTATGCATAGTTACTTCCTGATTCCCAGTCAATCTGAACCTTATCTCTGGCATGGCACTGTCTTCCTCTGAGGACCAGTTTTGTGTAGTCTGGTTAAGGCATGAGGTAAACACCAGAGGACTAGGGATTCTAGTCCTGCCTTAGGCATGAAACCAGCGGGGTGGCCTGGAGCAGTCATTCATTATGAACCCTAAGGAAGGAGGCAATAAAAAAACCACTTCCTAAAAACCCTTGCCAAGAAAACTGCCAAGTCCAGGCAAGATTCAACACTAATTTGAAGGCATGCACATACTTCCTCCACTTATTTTCAAAGACTTCTTTTTCAGCCTGCCTATTGTTTCCTAATTGATGAGGTAGTGGGATGGGGTAGTATGATCATTCTCAATCTTTCTGACCTTTTATAGGCTGGATTTTGGAGTGGGCAGCACTGAGTTGCACTGGTCCTCCTCCTTCCTCTGGAGTCAGTTTGAATCTATGTTGATTGAGGGAGGGGCAAAGATCCAGGTCGTAGGGGAGATACAGCCTATGGCTCTTTTAAGGTACCCCAGGGCTCAAGTTCTTTTTCCTGTCCTACTTAACAACTACATATGGCTGCTGAGGGAAGGTGATTAAAGAGTTTGGGGTGAGCTATTATCAATATACTAATGATACCCAGCTTTATAACCCCACCCGCCTGAGAAATGCCATGGACATCCTATATCACTGCCTGGAGGCTGTAATGGCCTGGATGGGTTGCAGTGACCTTCAACTCAATCCAAGCAAGACAAAGTGACTTTGGGTATTTAGGGCTCCAGGTGACAAGGTTTTTCCATTAGTCCTGGATGTGGTGGCATGGCCCCAGATCGACCTGGTGTGCAATATGGGGGTCCTCATGGACTCATGGCTTCGGCTAGAAGACCAGGTGGAAATCATGGCCACCATAATGGCCTTTGTACAGCTTAGGGTTGTATGTACCATTTGCACCCATTCCTGAATCAGTTTTGCTCACACTCCCTCTTCCCCTTGTGACTTCTTGCCTGGACTACTGCAATGCAGTCTATATGGGGCTACCATTGAAGAGCATTTGGAAAGTTCAACTGGTGCAGAATGCAGTTGCATAGGTAGTAATGGGTGTTGGGTATTCAACACATGTAGCATCACTGTTTCGTGAGCTGCATTGATTGCCAGCATGCTTCTAGGTGCAATTCAAGATGCTGGTTATTTCCTTTAAAGCCCTTCATGGCTTGAGGGTCAGGTTATATAAAGGCCATCTTCTCCCAGTTGTTTCTACTAGTTCTGACAGGCAGGTTGGGCATGTTGCAGGTCCTGTCAGCAGATGGAGCCATGAGACATGACTTCTCTGCCGTAGCCTCTGCCCTCTGGAATATTCTCCCTTCAGATATCAGGATGACTCTGACCCTGTTGGCTGTTCCACAAGGCCATTAAGACTTAGTTATGTACCAGGGCCTGGGCCCCTGAATATGTTCAGAGTTCCCTTTGATAATTGCATTAACATCCATAGGAACAGTTTTAACTTGGTGCCAGATATTTATTTTGCATCATTTTAATATTTTTTTGTTTATGATATACGCCACCCTTGTTGAGATGGGCAGCTATAGAAATCAAATCAATCACTGAAAAAAATAAAATCATGCCAGATCAATCTTCCATAGTACTGTGTACGTGGAAATGGTTAGCATCAGTAAATGTGTTTCATCAAAAAGTCAAATAAATGCAAATCAAATACAATAAATATAAACTCATTAAGCAACAACTAAAGACAATGCTGAAATATAATTGAATTGCTGTTTATACTATATAACAATTCTAAAAATTAATTTAAAAAACAAAATTCTGTTAATTCTGCTAAAAAGGTTAAACAAATTGAAAAAGCTACAATTTTTGTTCAAGAACAATTCACTATTACCTTTTCTACTCCTCTGAGAAATTTGTCTATTCCTGTGTAATTCCGCCTAGGATCTGTTAGCAGCTCACAAAGTCGCTGAATAGTAAATGGGATGCTGAAACAAATTGAAACAAGCTAATTTTCACTTTGAATGCATATTGAATGAGAGAAT